AAATCTTCCAGTTTTCCCGGAAAATTTCAATTTTATAGATACTTAAAGCTAGATAGTTGAAGCATTTATGCTTTGATATTTCATATTTAATTTAAAATAATTTTGTCCACTATTATGTACAGTTAATTAAATCATGTTATCAACTTATTTTTACTTGACCATTACTAGGAAAAGCGTTCTTTAAAGTACTAGCTTTGGTAGCTGTGTATATTTCTACTTTTGATTAAAATTAGGAACTAACGTGAAACGAAATGAAAAGTTTTTGATTTTGCTGCGTCTCTTTAAGCTAGAACACTGAGTCAAAGGGTAAATACCCTATCACCATCTTTTATAAAAAGAACTTTCTGCATAAGTGTAAAAGAAAGCTTGTACTTACACGAACAAAACTTTCCGGTGTACCTAATAATTAAGAATAGTAAGAGATATTTAACTTCTCACAAAAGTCAGCCATTAAGGATGTTGTTTTACAATCGATTTTCTCCCTTTCCCGTTTAACTTTGAGTCCTGGTTTCCTTTTACAAATCAAACTTTTAAGTCATTATCTCAAAACGAAATCGGAATTTAGATGAGCGAAGTACTTAGTTAGGGAGGAATCATTTCTCGATTTCCAGACTGTTGGAGAAAAATTTGATTGAGGCACGTATTCAATCATGTTGACCCGATAACAAACGTTGCGATTACGAAAACGTCTATGAAGTATTTGCTTAGCATCCGAGGTTTGTTAAATTTATTTTTATTTTTGAGAATTACTGTACAGAAAGTTCTGGATTCACAAACTTACTCAATACGTTCATGTTGTACAAAGAACATCATCCAGGGATCTCACTGAGAAATTACGCACTCAACACAGTGAAAAAACAATTACTTTGAAAAGTAGTATTATCTGAAGCATTTCCAATAAAAATAATTCACTTCGTCTATCGAGTAAATTTAAGTTGACTCTAAAATAAATGTAAATTATACACATTCACTGCAAAAAAGTTCCAGTTAACAGTTACTGGTATAAGGATGGGCATTCGGGGCACGTGCCCGGGGCCCCGAATTGTGAGGGGCTTCACCCCAAATTACATATGAATTTTTTTAAAATTAGTTTGGCTTTTAACTTGTAAGGGCCACCAAATTTTTCTTTTAATTATTATGTGAGCTGTTTTCATTTCATAAAATTATTATTCCCTCGAATAAACGTGATAAATAGTGCTTTTTAAAGTAAATAAATCTTACAAATAATTTTATGAAGTGCTTTAAATTCTTACTTAATACAAATGTCTTGTTTTCTACGTAATTTTTATCACTATCACTACTTTATATTTCGTATAATTTAACTTTAATTAAAACAAATAAATAAATGAATAAAAATTCTACACATTTCCGACCTGCTGTAAACTTTTTTCTTATTTCACTAAAACTAAAATACAAAATTTTTTTTCTCATAATGTAAGAAATAAAAGAAAATCACTTCAGAAACAATGATGCGAAATTCATAAAATATTTATTGCAAAATCACTTTTGAAACTTGTTTGAGGACATCATAAATTTTCTTCTGACATCTGTGGCATTGTATTTAATTGCTTTTCAGCAAAATATTTCTCTCTTTTGCAAACCTACAAAATTGAAAAGCGGTAGAATTTAGAAAAGAGTTTTTGTAAATACACCAAACTTAGCAAAACCTAGATGTATAAATTCCGAAGCTAAAAATTAATCGATTAAAGTAGTAAAACTATCGAGTAGTGTAGTAAAAAATTAATCGTGTAAGTAGTAAAAGTATCGAGTACTGTAGTAAAAAATTAATCGAGTAAAGTAGTAAAAGTATTGAGTAGTGTAATAAAAAATTAATCGAGTAAAGTAGTAAAAGTATCGAGTAGTGTAGTAAAAAATTAACCGAGAAAAGACTAAGTTATAAATCGCATTACATATATTGTTACATCTTCATCTGAAACGTTAAATTCGCGAAGGTGTTAAGAGTAGCTCCCGATTTTTACGTATGGAATTTTTTGAAACTCTCTTTCAATGAAATGTTCCGGAGAGATTCGATATATCTCATATATCGAATCGGCAATTCGATATATGAGATATATCGCTTATTATTCGATATATATCATATATCAGACATAAACAGGGTTTTTTATTTTATTTCACAACTGGTGTTGAACAGCAGACCCAATTTTCGGGTTTTCGACTACTAATGTTCAACTCTGTAGTATTGTTATTTTGAAACCAATCCAGAAGACAAGATAACTCCTGGATCAAGCATTGCGACAAATTTGCCTTCGTGGGGGACTCTTTGATGGAACTAACCAGCATATTCGTTACATGGAGAGGAAAACCTCCAACGGTTACCTTATCGGCAAGAGGATTCTAATCCATGATCCGTCTGCCACTGAGAATATTTTACGTCATTACTGTGGTCGGTGGGAGCCGCGTGCGAAATTCGTATCGACAAGTCGTCGTTATAGGTACACTTTTTTTTACCGGGATTCAAACCCGGTTCACCTTAGTGGAAGGTGGATATATATATANATATATATATATATATATATATATATATATATATATATATATATATAAAGAGAGAGAGAAAATACAGTTCAAGATACAAATACAAAATAAAATGAAAATTCAAGAAATAGATTCCAAGCAAGCTGCGACAGCACTAAGTTGCTACTGTCAGACCTGGAAGAATATTTGAAGAAAATATTTTAAGATTAAATACAAAAAGTAATTGCCTCATCCGACAACGAAATTATTAACACGAAATGTATATGGATATGTAGGTTACTCATATACCATACCCATATGCATACCCCCCAACTTATGAGGATTTTGAAAATAATTCTTTCTAGTGGTAGCGAACCAAAGTAGAAATTTTTAAAGCAAATGGATCTCTCAGAAAACTTTTATCAGAACTTAAGAATCTAGCCATATGGCCTGCACTTTTATAAGTAATAGTGGACAAGTTAAGCTAAAATTAATTTCTTTTAAATATTAAGACATTACATTTGCTACCGTCTGAAAAGAAGATTTCTGAAACTACGGAAATTCCGTAGCAGTTGGAGGGTATGCCCATATGTATATGGGTATGATTGTTTGTGGCATTATACCGCCAATCATTGAAACTGCTCCCACACTGGCTGCGTGTTATTACCCCCCTGACGCTGCTGCCATGTTTGGTTGTGCTTCCACTTTAATTTCCTTTTAATATTTTTCCTTTTTGTTAGCTCCTTTAGTGCTTTCACCAGGTAGTTTTTTTGTTTGCCATTTAGCCTGTCATTTCATGTTAATGATTTCATTCTCGTATGAGGTAGTTACTTTTTGTATTTCATCTTGAAACATACATAATATATATATATATATATATTCCAAACCTCTAAGTTAGTAGGACGAACATTTACATAATAAATATAAAATAGTATTTTTTACTATTTCTGTTAAATTTTTTACAATGATGTATGCATGTTTTTGTTTGTTAAATTTTACTTTATTTTCTAGTATGTTTTTTTCAAGTGGTTGAGAACTCAAGATTGAATATTAATTTCGGGTATAAATTTTCGTTTGCTAGAATCAATCACATAGCTAAATTACTATTCAGTTGCACTGATGTTTAAATATTTATGGCAAAATTTCCTAATTTTTCCCTGTAATTCATATTGTTATTAGAATGTACTGGAGTTTGTCCCTATTCTCGCTAGTAATTCTAAAATCCTATATATTCTATTAGCAAATAGGACGAACGTGAAAGAATTACTAATTGTTATTTTTCTCAATTTCTGGATTTTTCTACAGTCTATTTTCTTTCACGTGTTTCACTGATATTATCTATATATATATATATTTCTCTTACACCAGCGACAAAAAAAAGCTTCATTACAACTCCCCGAATGGCAACGCTAGAAAATCGACCAATGATTGCCGCTAAAAATGTCACATACCAAATCCAGCTGAGGTGGCTCAACATATAGCGCTTTTAAAAACGGAAACTGAAATCTTCCGAAATTCACCCTATCAGCTGCGGCAATCTCATACTATTAAGCTAGGCAGATGTGAGTGGTCTTTGTCGATAGATCTCTATTTTAGTATTTTGTCGAAAGCGCTTTTTTTCACGAATTTATTTGACGATTTTTGATTTATATCACGAATTTATTTAGTTTTATTATTGTTATAAGTTATTCATTGAAAAATGAGTTTCAGTTGTGCTGTTACGCTTTAAGACTTTATACTATTGTACATTTCTAATAGGTTTAACGAATTACATGTCATTTATTTGAATTCAAATTTATTTTAATGACTTTAGTATTTGCTAAAAAGGTGTAATATGGATTTGAATGATTGTTTTGAATTCTTAGAATTTTGTGCATTTGCAATATACCTAAGTNACATATTAACTCGACTCTATGTCGGGGTACCTTTTCATAGATGACGGTTGACATGGTCAGTAACTACTCTCCCCACACCTAAGTTAATAGCGAGCGAAGCGAGCTTGGTTTGCGAAGCGAACCATATAAGATTGCGTAGCAATTTTCGGAGGTTGGCGAGCGTTCGCGAGCAGGGGGCGCAGCCCACTAGTTCATTTATATTAATTTTACATTAATTTTATAATAAGGAAAATAATTTTTATTATAGTTACAGCAATTGTCTAAGGTTTAAGATGTGCCAATGCCAAAGTTTGTTTTTATTATAATGTTTTATTAAAATTTAATGCGATCATGGTATTGTCATTTGAAAAATTTCAAATATGTGGAAGAAAGCCGCCATTAAGGCGATTCTATCATTCATTTAATGTTATGAAAACTGTAATTATTTTGTAACTCTCTAGTTTTGAATAGAATTGAAGTTTTAAAGTTACTTTGACTTAAATAATAGTTCTGGGTATGTCTTACGTAATCAAAAACACAAATCTCTAACAAAACTGATAATCATAAGTCATATATGCAATATAATATCACTTACAGCTAATGCGAGATCAGAATGAGTATAGCTATATTGATTATTAAAGTAATACGTACTGCATTCCAGGGTCAGAATCCAGTATAACGTCTTGCGCTAATTTCATGAGAACGCGTATTATATCTTCAGGATTTTCAGAATCTGAAGCAGATCTTTTCGACCTTCAAAGGAAAAAAAATATCAATAAATAAATACAACATTAAGCGTAAACAATAAAAATTATTTTTTATGGTGAAAGGGTGTGTTTAATGTACGTTGTTTGTAAAATAAAAAAAAAAATAAAAATTCAAATGACTTACTATTAAATGAGTACTTCACATAAGGACTTTACCAAGTCCTTATGTGAAGGACTTGGTACTTCCAAGTCCTTCACATTGTCATATACCTGCGTTATTAAGACTCGATTATCTTTGTAAATTAAGTTTTGGTAGCATTTCTTTCATTTTTTAAGCAGATATACATTTTACAAAAGTACGAAACATTTTTTAAGTTGACTTTTTTTAAAATTCTAGTCTTACTTTGGTACATCAATTTTTATGAGTCAACTTCTGAGAGTGTGACATTTGCACCTTATGTCTTTATTTTCAATTTTGTAACAAAGATTTTTTTTAAATGACAATTTTGATTAAAACATTAAATTTATTTTTTCATAAATCTTATGCCTAACATCTCAATTTGAATTTGTAAAATGTCCCTTCTGTTAAACCTTATCGCCAAATATTTAAAGTAAATTTTCAGCGTAATTGCAAAATATATACAGGGTTATTCACAATTCCCTCTGCCTGTAAACGCCATTTTTCTTTACTACAACTCGCTTCAGTGGTACATGTTACTGCCATCTACCGGCAACTGCTTAAATTAAAACTTGAATACTTTCGGAATAATTTCATATGTTCTTTTTAGCCATATTCGTCTTCCTTTTTTTACTATAACACTTCGAAACCCCGGAGGGAATTATGAATAACACTGTACTGTCCAGATTTTTGTTGCTGAACGTAAAACTTGTTTGAAAGATAGGCTGTATTTAAAGTAAGCCGTATGCTTTTTTAATATCTTTATAATTTGGCAGAAAAGGACAGTTTCTTATAGTTTACTTGTCACTACTCTCTGCTCTCTGTTAATATACAAGAGTAAATGAAAAAGTTAGGCGAATATGTGATGGAAAGAAAAACGTACAGAGATACGGTGATGAAACTTTATCATGTTTTAATCTTGGTATCACACTACTATTCTAAGAAGGAACCAAAGTAATACGTTTATTCCAATGGGTCACCAATTCATCCATGCTCAGTTCAAAAAATTCTTGCTCCAGGTTCCATAACCAGAGGTAAGTGTAGCCTGATGTGTCTCATGCGGTGCCTGGAAACGTGGTCCTCGGAGGTGATTCTTCCGAGGACCGAACAAATGGCAATCTGAAGGGGTTAAATCAGGACTATACGAAGGATGGTCGGCAATCAAGTCATGAAATTTGAGCCTCCTAAGGTGTGTACAGGTAAGTGGGAATGTGTGTATACCTCTTCTTTAGCCCATTCGGGTTATCATTTGTTCAGTTCCCTGAACAATCACCTCCATGGGAAGCGTTATGGAATCTGGAGCAGGAATTTTTCGAACGGGATATGGATAAATTGGTGCTAAGTTGGAATAAATGTTTAGATTACTTAATTTCCATTTTCGAATAGTAGTGTAATACCATACTTCAAACCTTATAGAGTTTCATCGCTGCATCTCCGTACGTTTTTCACTCCATCACACATTCACTTTACTTTTCGATTCAGATTTGGAAAAAATATTTAATTAATATAAAAGTTATTAAACTAATCAATTTGAAGGCAACATATTGAACAAAATTGCAGTAAGAAGTTTATATAATCCCTATCCTTTTATAAGTGATTCATATTCCTTATTCCCATCCCTTACTCCCTTTAAGACAACTTTCAAATTTTCAGAGTATAGCATGAAGATTTTTACTTCCTAAGAAGATTAAAGTTTAAATATATAAATCGTCTGTGCTACATGTTTTATAATTTATACACTAGTTTGTATTTTATAGCTAATGGTCTGTTTAAGGATTAATTTTTAAAAATAAATCCTACAAAGTTTATTAAGCCTAACAAGCTTTAAGTGAAATATTATTTTTCAAGATTTAGCCCCTTGTATGTCTGTCCTTACTGCCCCCTTTAACGCCTTCCTTCTCGCTCCCGTGATATTTCCGGGCTGGAGTGTTCAGTAGTAACGCGCCAATAAGAATAAAACTAATTAATTTCTTTTGCCCGACAAACATTTAATTTCCCTTTTTACACACCAGATGGCAGCACCAGGATATTTTTAATGTGATTGTAGATAGTTAGATTATTTTAAACTAGATGTCAGCACTAATCAAATAGCCCTAGTAAAAAAATAGGCACTTTTATGGCCGTTTTCTTGAAAATTAACCGATCGTTAAGGGGTTAAAATGCGTTTTAAATATTTTTCTTTCCTTTTTTATAATCAACTTAATAGTTAATATCTACAAATATGCATAAAGTGGATTCCCAATGTATGTTTCACGACTGTATCGATTAATTTTATTATTTATACTTAGTTTTTTTTTTATATGACGCACTTTACCATGTCTTTGAAACAGGCAATGTGACTAGTGCCAGCAGCGAGTCTTCGTGCCCTATAATCTACTATTGGCCAAGATTTGTTTTAAACATGTGACAGCGCTCCGCCTCTTACAGCTTACTTTATCGACATTTTTTCTGGAAAGTGAAGAAATTCGGTGAATCAGCCAGTTTTCTAGATTTCATTCCTATAGAATATAAAGCTTTGCAGGAGGCAATTGCAGGTTAGAAAGACTAGTCAATTGAAACTCTCAGCCACCTCATACAAGCACACAGCGTTACTAAAATAGGACCATTTGTCGAAAGCCAATCTAAACTCTTTTATTTCCTTCAGGAAACGATGTGAAACCTTCACTTTCCAGAAAATATAATAAGACTTAATCCCTTATTAAGATTTTTTTTTTTCTATTTGAAATTATTTAACCACTGCTTATACTTTCCAACTCTCATGAGTGTTATGTACATTCATGCATAGCATCAATCATTGAATCATCCATATTACATACATAAACGCAGGAAGCGTTAGTGACGAAAAATATTTGGGAGTTTCCCGTCAAAACTTAGAGTTTACAACGATTACATGCAGAAAATAGGCAGTTCGAAACTTTTCGCCACAATTGTTCCCATTTGTTCAGTAACCCTATGTTCTGGTACTAGATGATTTTCAGAAAAGGATTTCTTTTTAAATACTTTCTAACCAGAGTTGAACAACCGACCCAAACCTGAGTTCACGAGTATTTAATTCTATAGCCTTGTAATTTTGAACCAATCCAGAAGACAAGGGTACTACTGGATCAAGCATTGGGACAAACTAACCTTCGAAAAGGACTTTTTTGATGGAGGAACTGCACCGCATTTATGTGCACGGAGAGGAAAACCATAAAAACCTCTCAAGTTTTGTCCAGACTACGACGTCAGCAATGTGGTTGGTGCGACCTGGGAGCAGAATTTGCGTAAACCTGCTACAACTTGAAATTTGCCTTCGGGGAGAAGAAGAGAGATCAAGTAACCGAAAAGGTTACTGATTGAGGTTCACGAGATTCTTCCACGGTTAGCCTGACGGCAAGGGGACTCTAACCCATGATCCGTCAATCACTGAGGATATTTCACGTCAGCACTGTGATCGGTGCATGCCGGATGCGGAATTCGTATCGACTGGGATTCGAACCCGGTTCGCCTCATTGGAAGGCGAACGCTCTATCCCCTGAGCCATCGCGGCTCTTCAGAGAAGAATTGCAAGCTTCATGTTGCACTTCTGATAGGTTCTCAAACATGCTCATAAAGTTGGTGTCTGATATCCCGGGTGGTCAATAGATTCGGCACATAATTTCACTTTCCAGAAAATCGTTCACCTGATGAACTTTACGTCCTCATCTGGTGTCATCTTATATTCATCTTACAGTGTACGTTTTCGTTTATAAAATAAAATCAAAATTAACTGCACCACTGAAAAACAAAGAAAGGGCTCCCATATCTAAAACCATTTAAAGTGCTCATCTTAAAGTAACGGAGGTCTGTACGGCCATTCAAGAAGATTGCCCAGAACATCAAATCTTCGCTATCATAATGGTTGATTTCTAAATGCTTCAGGAGCAGAGAGTAGGTCCGTAGTTTAAATGGTTAATGCGGATTGATTATATGAATACAATTGATCGTTGCAAAGAAAATAAACATTTACCTGTTTAAACTATTAACTGGTTATATAACGTAATTTCCAGATTAGCAAGAGGTCACACAAAAAGTCTCTCGTTTTTCGAAGGCAAGAGAATCTTCGAGATCTGCTCCAAATGCCAAATTGAGCAGGCTTCTCCCGAACACATCCTGGACTGTTTGGGACTTTCCAGAGAGGACATATATTCATCCCCCATTCTGGTTCTCGATTTCCTTAGGGTCAACGGTCTGATGGACCTTGTCTGACTTCGTCAGGCATTTGGACGATAAGCCACAACAACACAACACAACTGGTTATATTGAAACTTTAACCAGTCCTGCCTAACGTTTACTCTTTCCAACGAAGTATTTCCCAAGCGGTTGTGAGAAACAAATTGAAATAAAATTGTAGATAGAATTAACTTTTTACAATTGCTACAGTGTTCGTGCATTTTCGTTTCTATAACTTGCTCTTATATATAAGTTTATTTTATTTACAGAGGTAGTCATAATCATATTAAATTAAATGTATTAATCAAAAAAAAAAGGAAATTTAAAAATGAAATAGTGGGGAGAATCCGTATTTGGTAGTAGCAAGGCGTGAGAATGTCAAGAAGGTAAAGAGAGATAGTGAATTGTACCTGGGAAGTACAATTAAATTTTTTGACAAACTTCGTACTAGAAGTGTATTTCTTTTATCCTTTTTTCCCTACTTATTGTGAAAATATATCATTTTATGATATCGCTCAGGCAATGTGCTCAGTATTAATTCTCTACTTTCATATTTAGGATACAAGGACCTCAAGGTAACACCACAAGGATCCGCCATCACAAGACGAAGGAATAAAGGGTCACTCCGGCCTCAGGCACCCCTACCAACCGACAGGACTAGTAGCAAAGCTTAAACTCACAATAAAGCTTTAACAACAAAATAGATAAGTTATGTACCTGATGTTGCTTATACCATTCGCTGGATAACTAAAGGTATAATCCATGGAAGATATGATAAAGCTTAGCAATAAAGCCAATCCGCAAATGTGTCTCGGCATCTCGAATACTCTTTAGCTGAAATAAATAAAGATCAAAATTAATTTATATTTAGACAATGTGCACCAAAGTAATCACATATCAGAGATGCCAACTTGCTCCGGACAGCAAATATATATTTTAAAGTGGTAGTTTATCAATGTATTATTTTATCTTTATCGCCA